GATGGCTGATACGTTGTTTCTGCATCTAGATGGCTTGTATCATCGGAAAACCGAGTGAGCTTGGGGAGCATGTGTCGTTGAAGGACGCCGACGACCACATCTTTGGCTTAGTGTTACTCAATGACTGGAGCGGTGAGTGTTCCCATTTGCGTTCCCATCCTATTGTCAATGCCTGCTAACTTTGGTGAAAAGCACGGGATATACAGGGATTTGAAATGTTACCGCTGGGACCCATGAACGGCAAGAGCTTCGGTACGTCGATCTCGCCGTGGGTTGTGACCCTGGAAGCCTTGGAGCCCTTCGAGACGGGGCGACCGGCCAGAGACGTGCCGGCGGCAGCGTTTCTGCAAGATGTCAAAGAGAAGCCGAGCTACGACATCGCCCTGGAAGCCGAGATCGTGAGCCAGGGCCACGCCACCAGAGTTTGCAAGGCGAACATCGCCTGGATGCACTGGACGTTCCGGGATCTGGTGGCGCAACAGACGGTCAATGGGTGCAATGTCAACACGGGCGACGTGCTCGCCACCGGCACGGTATCGGGCAAGGGAGACGACGAGCACGGCTGCCTCCTCGAGCAGACCGAGGGCGGCAAGGTGGAGATCACGCTCAGTGACGGGCAGAAGAGAAGCTACCTCCAGGACGGAGACACGCTGCGGATGACGGGATATGCAGGGCCCGGGGTTGGCTTTGGCGATTGCACCGGCGTCATTGTCCCGGCTCGGCCCTTGTAGGTGAGCAATGAGTGGCCGTAATCTCCGTTGGCTCGATGGCTTTGCTTTTCCGAGGTACGGTGACAACTACAAGTATGAACCAGAGTTCTAGTTAACCGTTCCTTGTGTATCCGGTATGAAGTACTTTAAGTACCCCTAATAACCTGCACCGCCACAGAGCATAGTATGCATCACTTTGTGCTTCATGTGGCTTAAGCAACTCGGGAAGGGGGGTCAAGCTTGAGCTTACGCTTATGAGTGGAACCCGTCCTACCGCGTTTGATTGGCCGCCAGCAGCGTTCGGGGCTCTCCCAGTCGCTCTAACTCTTACTATGTAGACTAGCGTGCCGGCTAGATTTCTGACCAGATTGCAGCTGCACTGCAGAAGCACCACCAGCCGCTTTTCGAGAGCTTCGCTTCCGACCACCAGGACCTCCACATCTTCTCTTCGTCCGCGTCCTCCTCTCTGCCACCTGGTTCACCTCGTACCTCTCTCCCTCTCTCGGCTCCTAGATCGCCACAATGGTCGCCCTCCGCTACTCTGTCCTCGCTGCGCTCGCGCTTCGTGTAGTTTCCGTCTTTGCCCAGGAGGCCGATGCTGTAAGTCAGGTCCTCGTTGATCCCGGGCCTGCCTTCGGTGGTCCAGCCATGCGCACGCCCATCGAAGGTGTCCGAGGCCGCACAGCAAGCAGCAGAAACTGATCGTATTGCGTATAGCCGCCTGTCGCCGAGGATGAGACCATCGTCAACGCCGGTGAAGCGCAGCTGAACGCTGAGATCGTCGCCACCTTCCCCGAGGCCGATATCTTCGGCGTCAAGCTGGTTAATGGCCGACCCACCAAGGCCGTCGTCGACATCACCAACAATGAAGACCAGCCGATCCAGGTTGCCTTTCTTGGCGGCCAGCTCCTGACCCCCAACGAGCTGAGCCCCGACACCCCTGCCTACGCCGCCGTCCTCCGCAACCTGTCCACGGTTCAATACCAGGCCACTATTCCCGCTGGCGAGAAACAGTCGCTTCCCTACTCCTTCGTTCTGGACATGCAGCCTCAGGATGTTCGGCTAAACCTCATTGGCGTCATCATGGGTGCCTCCAACCAGATCTTCACCGTCGGCGTCTTTGATGAGGTTGTGAGCATTGTCGAAGCTCCTACCAGCTTTTTGGATCCTCAGATGTGAGTTTCGTCGTTTCTAACTGCTTCTCGCTCAATTGAAGGCTAATGATCCCGCCCTAGTATCTTCCTGTACCTCGTCCTGTCCGCTGCTTTTGCTGGTACCTGCTACTTCGTCTACAAGACCTATGTCGAGGCTTTCTTTCCCCAAGTCAAGAAGTCTCGATCGTCGAGGCCCAAGCCTACGTTTGAGAAGGAGGCTCTTTCCGGAGGTGAGGCTAGCGGCAATGACAAGGTATATGATGAGAGCTGGATTCCTGCCGATCACCTCAATCGCCCTACTGCGCGACGTGTGAAGAGCAGTGCAAGCGGCAAGTCGAGATCGTAAGTGCCAAGTAGAACAGGCACACCAAGAAATTGAAGGGCCAATCACGAAGCACTAGAAAGGATTTTCAGAGACAAAGGTTATTACGATTTGGAAGCGGGTTACTAGGTCGGTGCACAACTCATAATCTCGAAGAGGAAGGGAAAAGCATTTTATACGATGCATCATCTAAGGTAGCGGGTCATGTTGTATATTTCTCGAAACCACCTGTATTACAAGGGAAACCAAAAGCTGAGAAGATAATCTGGTAGCCTATGCAAGTCCGGGCTTCCCGGGGACACCGATGTATCATGAAGGACCTACAACATTGAGTCATGCGCAGAGGCTTTCGTTCCTTCAATTAATGTGCTGCGGAGCATAGGGACGTAGTTTTGCGTTGCGCAAAAAGGAGCGGCGACTAGCCAGTTTCATTCTGCATTCCCGATTCTCGATCCATTGCCCTCCTGGCAACCAGGGCTGCATAGTTACGCTTGATAGCAGCCTGGATGAACTCGGCCCCAGTGATGACGGGGTATTTCTTGAGTGGCCCTTGAATTTGACAATCCTTGACGGGTTGGTTGAAGTAGGCCATACTATACCGAGGACCAAAGTAATCAACTGCGGGGTCTCTCGGCGTCCTCACACGGTGTAGTGTCGACTTGAAGCGGTCATCGCTCCAACTCATGAGAAGATCGCCACTGGGGGAGGAGCATGAGAGGGACGCATTTCACTTGGTAACAAGGGAAGAGGGAATTAGAGCGAGGGGGTGAGGCGCTTACATATTACAGATGATCTCGCCCTCTACGGGCTCAACCTTCGTCCACGTATCGCCGATCCCGAAGGCGGTAAAGACTTCGCGGCCCGGACAGAACTCGAGCCCGTTCTCCCCGGGCCGCTGGAACAACAACGTCAAGAGATCCCAGTCGGCGTGGGCGCCGGCCCTGTGGTAGTCGTCCGGGACGGGCGCAGCGAGGTCGAGGGGGAAGTAACGCAGCAGCCGCAGGACGGTCTGGCAGTCCGGGTGCGCGGGGTCGTGTGCGCGCACGAAGTAGCCATCGTCGCCGAGGCCGAGCCCGCGCGCGAGGCAGACCATGAGCCGCTCCGAGACGGCCTGCGCGCGGCGCATGAAAGCGAGGGTGGCGGCGCGGAACCCCGGGAGCGCGGCCTCGGGCGCCCAGGCGCCCTGCATGGCCGGGCCGTACTGGATCTGGTACGACTCCTTCTGGTCCGGGCACCCCGTGCTGGGGCGGACCTGCGCGGCGCGCTCCCAGCCCACGTTGCGCGCGGTGTAGGGCACGGCGGCCTTGACGGCGTCGGGCAGCGCGAAAAAGCGCTCGGCCTGCGCGAACTGCGCCGACACCTCGGACCACGGGACGCCGTGGTCCACGATGGCGAAGAACCCGTCCGTCTCCGCCGCTGCGACCAGCTCGGCCGTGATGGCGTCGATGCGCGCGTCGAAGTCGCGCAGGGAAATGATGGGGATCTTGCGGTCGGCGTATCTTGTCTCGCTTGCCATCCTGCTCTTCGTTTTCCCCTTCGTTGTATATGTTGTCGCGTTTCTTGAGCTGACCTGGTTGAACTGTAGTCGAGACAGACTGTTGTCTCAGTTCTTGGGGTTGCTTTGGTTATGAATCCCCGCACCACAACAGGGACTATCGACTACCTATTGTCCAAATCACACAGCGTCCCATGCTGCAATTTTTTGTATCTTGCATTGCGCATCTAGCCCCATATCTCCTACCAGCTTTTTCCCTTGGAAAGACTATGCACTGGTTCTGCTTTTTATTTCTTCCCTCAGACCCCTCTGGATCTTGCAAGGGGTCCCAGAACTACCGGTCAACAGCGATATGAGATGACAAAACACCGTCATGACATATTCGCCTTCATTGGGCGTACTGCTAGCCCTACGATCATCGATTGGCTCTTCAGGGGCCGATTGTGCGCATTCTTATTGCTCGTCTTGGAAGATAGAGCGTACGTGGGGGTGTGCGTTCTTTGTCATCGACATCGCTTAGAATCATCAAAATCGTCTAGGTTTCTTTATCCCGCCCACAGCATTGATCTGAGCACCCTTTTTTTTTTTGGCTACTAAGGTCACTACAGATAAGGTCATCAGGGCAGGTACTTGATCCGCCTGCAGTACGCTGAAGGTTGTCTCTACCATGAAGACTTTTGATAGTCCGCGACGGCTTACGCTTACACAGGGCTCCCTAGTAGATCAGGGTTCAGTAGTCTTATTCATGATTAGGTACTATATCCGCATGTGTAGTCACCACAGTGCCCATAGGGCATCATTCAAATGCATCTTTCTTTAGTCTAGTCTTCGCGATCTTCACTCAGAGCACTTTTCTCCTACGTTTCTTTTCACCTTACGCGTTACTTGTTCCCCTTCGGCAACGCGGATTGAAGGCCAGTATGCTTAGACAATGCATTCGGAGCACGTGCTTAGCTAGTCATCATTGGCTTTTTTTAACGCGTGTGTGATGTATCTCACTTAAATCGAGATAGAATAAGAAAAGCTTTGTCGTCGTACGTCGCGTCTTTGTAATTTCTGCAAGAGCCCGAGCTGTTGCACCGATGGCTGCTACTCGGGAAATGGAAGAATTAGAGCCGGACTATGGATTTCTCGGTCGGCTTATTATCTAGATGGTGTAATGATGATCATACAGGTAAATTTAGTGGGAAGATCCGAGATTAAAAAAAACATAGTCAGAAGAAAAACCATTTCCCGCGATATATTGCGGACTATCTATAAAATCCTTACCTATTCGGTAGTCGTCATCAGCGATTCATCAGAAATCAAAATCGCTCAGATCCTCCGTGGCGCAATTGGCTAGCGCGTTCGACTGTTATTAACAGGTTATCGAGAGGTTGACAGTTCAAGCCTGTCCGGGGGAGATATTTATTTTCGTTCGACGATTTTTTGCTTCTTTCTGTGTCTGTCTCCTTTTCTTTTTTCTACTCTGCGATAAAACACCACACACATAGCTAAAGCTGACCGGGAGGGGGGGAGACCTTCATTCACTATTGGGAGCGGCGAAGGCAGCGGTGACTGATCGACCCTCTCGAGCTGTCTTACAGTGAGTGAGTGGGTGGTCATAATAATTACATCGTAGAATGAGAGCGGACAATGGCCGGGCTTATAGCCCAGTTAAAACTGCCTATGCATTGCATCTCCCAAACCCCTAGTTAGATAATTCGTGCTTAAATATGGTGTGCTAATAATGTCTCCCATTCCCGACCGATTAACCAGCACCCCAAATCCGTAACATACCAAAATCCCCCAGATTGATTGTTTCCCTAGACGCATACTATATGAATGCATAGGCTTCCTAAAACTTCCTTTTACTTTTATTTTTATTTTTATGCGTATTCTTGGTTGCGGAAGCGAAATGCGTGTCGCCTTCCCTATTCCCTCCCATTAACTCTTTAGCAATCGATTCTATTACCTAGCTTGTACAGTTTGGTCTTACGCTCTATCTTCAGCGTCAGTTGGAGACACTTGTTTGAGTGTGTTGCAAACTTACCGACTTAAGTACTTAGGGGCTTTGCTTAGCGCCACTAATTCCAATTAACTTCATTTCCTAGTAATCTTGAGCATCTGGAAAATGTCGTGGTGCAGGCTCGCAGTCACACTCCCCACTAATGGTAACATAGGTAGTACGTATGATCGAGTATGTAACAAGGGCTCATTTAGAATGAGGGCTTGGAAATTAGGTCTTTTCCTCACACGTGGTCCTGCAGTTCCGGTAAATTATATTTGGAGGGCAAATAACTATTGCTACTGTAAACTTCATATAGAACATTTGCGACCGACGTGGCAGCGGAGAACCGTGGTCTCACGATGCAAATTGTTTTACAGGACAAACATTTAAGAAGACCCTGGGAATATATACTTCGCAGAGCGAGCTATCGGCAAACTGCTCCAAAAGAGGTGAGAGTTGATAACCTCTGTTGCGTCTTTAACCTAATTGTAGCGTTACGCCCTGCCTTGACCTTAAAGCCTGGAGCAAGTGTGTAGGATACGTACGATTGAAAAAGTTGACTTGATCTACCGTTGCTTGCTGCTTCAAAAGCTGTACAAGCACCTCGTCATTGGAATGAACACTTCCAGATGCCTGAGGAAGAGTGAGATGAAGTCGGCGTGATCAGGTGTAAGCCAAACTAGAGAGCAAGCAGTCGCTCACCAACTTAAAGCTGGACTGTTCTCGGAGCCCCCACCGTCGACAACCAAGCTCGTGACCGGGATATCATGATACGCCCCCCTCCCCCACCGCAAAACCACACGTTAACTGCAAGGCACGCTCTATCAACGTCTCATAGGCGTTATGGCCATCACCCGCCGAGTTCTTAGAAACAATCGTAGAAATGCCATTCGATACATAGGCACCCGGGGACTGGACTCTTAAGCTTATTAAGGCTTCCTTCCACCAGGGGGTTGAGGCGCCCAATCATGCCATTACGTAAAGAGTCACGAGTGTCGCTCTGACAATTACGCTCAAGTATGGATATAGTCGTAGGCTGGTATTCATCTTTTCAACTCCGCTAAGAGTTCTTGTCCTTTGGCGTGAAGCGGGGACCTCGAAGTCTGTTTCTCTAGATGCCTGCTGCGAGGACACTTTCGTCTTTGATGGCATACACATCATTTATGCAAGGAACATAAGTTAGGCGAGTCCGGTATTGTTGGTCTGTCCGTAGGTTGCCGCACCACATCATGCGAATGAACAGCGTTGGTACAAGGTGACTCTCGGTTAAAAATATATAATAGTAAGCAAGCCTCCCTCTAAATCCTTCTCACAAGCATCCACCTTTGTCTTACTTAGACCAGCACGCTCCCCCACTCCTGAGTAGACCCCTGTTCATTCCATATCACTGGTCTGATCTTCAAGATGGCTTCACAAGGCCAGCATCCCCATCTCCCCCTGCCTGACTACTTCTCCAAGTTCGCCGGCATTTACGTTCGGCAGACGGGCCACTCAACGCTCAATATCCTTAGTGATGTCATCACCGAATATGTCCAGACATCCGCCCACGCTATTGGCCCGGACTCAGTCGTCCACGACACTGCCGCAGGGCCCGGTGTGGGCGCCGCGGCTCTTGTTATCAGCATTCCCACGGACCAGCTGCCAAAGGAAGTGCTAGTCTCAGACAATGCCGCCATGATGGTGTCGGCCGCGCGCGAATCCCTCGTCGCATCCCCTCTGCCCCACGTCGATTGCAAGGAGCTGGACTCGCAGGAGCTATCGTCGGTGCCTAACAATTACTTCACGCACTCGATCAATAACTTTAGCATCTTCACTTTTGTCCGTCCCGTTGACGCCGTCAGCGAGACGTACCGCACCCTCCGCCCGGGCGGCCTCGCTATCTTCACCTGCTGGCGCCGCTTTGCGCCCATGTTCATCGTGCAGGCCGCCCAGAAGAAGATCCGCCCGGACCTGCCACTCATGCCTACTCCAAGCCCAGAGTTCTACGAAGAGGGCGTGCTGCAGAAAGTGGTCGAGGAGGGCGGCTTCACAAAGGACAACATATCAGCGGGAGAGAAGGTGTTAATTGTCACCGATGATGAGAATATTATAGGACTTACTATGCTGATGTCAGGACCCATGATGATCAAGGCCCGCGAGGGATACACAGAGAAAGAGGAGGCTAGGTGGGCTGAGTCTGTTAAAGAGGCTGCGAAGGAAGAGATACAGCAGTTTGGGGGTGTCAGGTTCGAGGCTTATATTCTCTTAGCAGCTAAGTAGAGAGATTCGAGCGTCAGCAAAAGTGGCAAGAAATGGGAAAAGCTCAATTGGGTACCCTTTGGGTACTTTCTATCTAACCTAATTGTACTATTCCACCTAGTATAGATGAGGTAACATCACTATAGCAAATCCTCTTACGCAGAAATGACGAGATAAGACAACTAGGTAGTATTAAGTACTAGTCTAAGGTACCGCCTATAAGTGAAATTGGGAGAGAAAAGCTGTTGGACTGTTGATTGGCACGGGTAATTTCCATTGTGGTCATCTTAAACCATTCAATCTATTGTGTTCGATAAGTTCCCCCGACCGGCACTTGGCTAACTTCCAACATCTTACAATCGAACAATACAGGGTATCAACGGGTCACTGAATTCTATGCAGCTAGTATAATCAAGTGATCTTTTCAGCTTCCTCAAGCGACGATAACGTCTTCAAGAGTTCAATAGATAATAGCAGCCAGCCTCTATAATTTGTCTATAATGCAATCCTCTTCTTAAAATGTGGTACTTTCAATCGTTAATCATGTCTTTTAACTCACACCGATTTCTAGGTTGAGTTATTCAACCCAGGCTGACGAGTGAACTTGCGCTCCCCTTAAGAGGACTGACCCTCTGTTTAATTATGCCCAGAAACAAGGGCTACTAAAGGTCCAGGCGTAGTCCGAGTAATATATGCAAATTGAAAGCCATTTGATACCTAATTCTAGCAAGCTACACAGAAGAATCGTGAGCCTCTACCAAGTAATTGTTTGCCTACATAAGTGTCGGGGCAGGCTTAGCTCAATTGGACGGGTCCCTATGTTTACAGTTAGGATCCCGAGGCGGCGTCCTGCATCACAGGTTAACACCCTTACGAGAGCCACTCGAATATCACACGTATTATATGGGCTCATATACTGAGAATATTTAATTACCTAGTGTAGTAGATATCTGCAAACTGCCACTAGGCGGGTTTCAGGAGCAATTAATGTACCAACTTCTCGGCTAACACCATACCATACCAACCCCCGTGACACAGTTAAAAATCAAAGGCAGCCCCAGTCGTCCGATAACCACGCCACCGAGGTAACAGAGAACACAGAAAAACCAGCAAACCCCAAGGTTCGGGCACCATCAAACCATGCCACCCAACCCACACCACGCCGCACCCTCTCCCCAGAGTAACAGTAAAGAGCCGATCCCCTACGAATTCTGGCCCCGCCTTGAGATGTACACCTCGAGCCCCTCCTGCACGACGAAGAAGGTTGCTTTGGCCTTGAGCTCGCGGGTGGGGTTGACGAGCTGGAAGTCAAAGTCGCGCAGCAGCCGGGGGCAGACCTTATTGATCTCCAGCAGGGCTAGGTTCCGCCCAATACAGACGTGAGCGCCGCCGCCGAACTAACCGATCGGACACAGGACGTCAGCTCTAGGCCAGCCGAGAATCACCCAATCCGAGAGAGAGAGAGAGAGAGAGAGAGAGAGAGCAGTAAGAAGATGATGGGGAAGTGGAGAAAAGGGGTTACTGACCTGGAACATATATCGCTCCATGATCCTCGCGCTCTCCTCGTCCTCGAGCCACCGCTCGGGCCGGAAGAAATCGGCGTCCTCCCCGAACACGGCCTGGTCTCGGTGCAGCACCCACCCATTGAGCGCGAGCCGCGTACCGGCGGGGTACCGCCGCCCCTCGATCTCGACGCCGTCGGGCCCCGGCGCGTAGCGCGTGATGTTGAGGCCTACCGCGGGCCGCAGGCGCATCGACTCCTTCAGGCACGCCTGGAAGTACGGGAGCGCCTGCGCCTGCGTCCACTCGACGTTCCCTGAGGCCGTGATCGTGCCCGACGCCACGGCCGCGTCGATCTCGGCCTTCAGGGCCGCGTAGACGCGCGGTGCCGTCAGGGTCAGCCAGAAGAAGGACTGCATTGTCGAGGCGGTCGAGTCAGAGCCCGCGAAGCTAGAGGATGAGCCCCTCGTCAGTGTTCTGCTTATTCTAGTCAGGGGAAGGAGAGGACGGCGGGGTGTGCCGGCGGGGTGGTAAGAATTCCAAGTTCACTTACATGGCACCGTGCGCCACGGCGAAGATGTCCCCCTCATGGAACTTTTGGGGATCCTTCAGGTGCCCCTTGATCAAGCTCGCCATGAGGTCCTCTCTCCCGTCGCCCCCGGCTCCCTTCCCCTC